GGGAGCCGGGATCGGCCGCAGCCCCGGCCGCCTCCATCCCGGCGCCGCGAGGGGCTCGCGCGGGGCGGCCGCCAGGGCAGGGCGGCCCTCTGGGGGCGGGGAGGCCTCCACGGGGCAGGGCAGCCGGAACGCTGCCCGCTTTGTGCTCCAGGAAAGGGGCCTCGCGGTTGTGCTGCAGAGCTGGGAGCAGATGGAAGAGATGGGGKTTTCCTTTTCTCTCTCTCCGTGCCCTGTGCCGTTGGTTCCTCCTGGGTACGAGCCATGGTCAGCCTGCCCCAGCCGCGGAGGTCCCTCCAGAGGGATGGTGGCTCGGGCAGGGTCACCCCGTGCTGGCATCTAACCCGTGCCGCCCTCCGGCAGCCACTGCTGCTCTACTCGGTGTTAACCAGCGGGTCCCGAGCCCTGCATCCCCTTGCTTTGTCCGTGGCCAGCAGGTTTGATTTGACTTCCTTCAGGGCTTTCATGCTTGAGCAGGATGGGCTGGGGCCTGGGAATAATGGGCTGAGGCTCAAGATGTGCTCAAAACTGTCAGGAAAGCTTATCTTGCAGAGGGGCTAGAAGAGAGGCAAGAAGCCCTCATGCCCTTTGAAATGCCCTCTTTTTGGGTATGAAGGCTCCCCCACAGGTACGGAAGTGCAGGAAGCAGTTGTCCTTTGGCAACACGCAGCACCCTGAGGCAGCACGGGGCACTGGGAGCCCTGGTGAGCGCAGGGCAGCGCTCCTGCCGAGGGCGTTCATGCCACACGTGTAGGTCCCAGCCCGCCCGTGTGCGCAGCACTGAGCCTTGCTRGGCTCAGCGGCTCCTCCGCGCTTTGGAAAGCCCCACGGAGAGGCTCGGAGCAGGGCAGCTGCCCCTGCAGCTGTGGGTGCTGCCCCAGCTGCTGTTGGGGCTGGCGGTGGCTCCGTCCCTCTCTGGGACGTGGCAGGGACTGCGCGTGCTCCCTGCTGGGAGCACCTTCCTCCCCAAGTCCAAAGGGCAGCGCAGCCTTCCCAGGTGGCCCAGACTTTGCCTGCGGGCGGGTGACTCAGTGTCTGCCTGGCAGCCCTGTCCCTATCAGGACCGGCCAGGTCACCAGCCCTGCTGCTCCGGGAAAAGGTGCTGCAGAGTCATCCCCGGACCTGCGCGGTGCCACGTGGGCTGTGGAGGCGGGAAGAGCAGCTGGGAGATTCCCATYGCGGCCCATGCAGCCCCTGATTGACTGTGTTGGCTGAGGTCAACCTCCCCTGTGATTATCTTAATTTCTGCTCTCTGTTCCATGCAACAAGGTCTCTCCCACCTGCTACAGATAAATCGGATGGCAGGAGGGGTGTTTGCACAGCAGAGCGGATCAGCCTTCCGTGACACAGGCAAATACTCGCTCTTATGTCCTCCTGCTGAGGCCTGGGGATTTTCCATTGAGCCTTCTGCTCCCCCACAGCTCGGTGTGATGAGACTGTCGAGGGCAGCCAGCAAGCAGGGCTGGGAGCTGCTGGCCTGTCTGGTATCGGAGGGACCTCAATCAGTGCAGTATCTAAGTGGCAGGAGTCAGGACTCCCTGTGTGTGTTTGAGCCCCATTCCAGCACCAAGCGGCACAAAATGCAGGGCAAGTTGTGGGAGGAACAACTTGGAACAAGGGAGGGCCAAGGCCAGGACTCCTGGGCCCTCTGCTCTCCCATGCCCACCCTCTGCCCCTGCCCTGGGCCTGCAGCAGTTAATAATTTACACTTCCCTTCCCCACAGAGGGTCTGCATCAGATGGCCAGTGCTTCCCAGCACAAGTTCCAGGTTTCTGGAAGCACCACTTTCCAGAAAAGGTGGTGCTTCCAGAAAATACCCTCTTCCCACCCTCACTGGGGGGATCTGTAGGTGCAGAGCTCTGTATGGGGCAGCGCTGGGGGCCAGGCAGAGCCATYGAGGCACTACGGCACATGGGCTCTCCCATGCTGAGGATCCAAGTCTCTCCAGTTTTACTGCAACTTTCTGGGAATAGAGGAGTGAATCCCAGCAGAAAACCCAGCAAGCAACACAGAGCTGCTGCACGCAGTATCTCGGCTGTACTCCTGGGAATTTGTTGACAGAAGAGGGTATTTTCTCAGCAGAGCAGCCCCAGGTGGATGTTCTTACCTGGGCTGCAGTGTTTGCTGGAGGTCGTTGTGTCTCAGGTGAGGGCTGAAACCATCAGGCTTTGGCTTTTTTGGCCGGGGCCCATTCAGGATATCCTGTTGGAGCAGCTCCGCTTCGCACCGTGCTCAGCTGCTGCCAGGGCCAGTCTGTGTACGGGGACGGCTGGGGTGGCAGAGCAGGGCTCCAAGGAGGGACTTGGCCATGAAGTGACAGCCACGTCCTGCRTGAAGGTGCTGCCTCTGCCAGTGGCTCTGGCATCTCCCTTTCGTGCCCCTGTTTATGAAAGGGGGGTTGGAGGCTCACCTGGCTCGCCAGGTGCTTTGGGATCCAGTGCTGAGATGCAGATCCTTGGAGTTGGCTGTCACAGCCCTGCAGGCTTTCSATGACCCCCTTTGCTCGGTAGGCACCCGTATCTTGCAACAGACCCCACTCTGGGTCTGTTTAATTTTTGTAGGTCTCTGGCTTGTCAGGGTGCTGCTAAAACTGCTTGGAAGTAACAATGGAAGAGGTGACAGGCTGAGATTTAAATAGCTGTGACTGATCTAGGCCTCGGCTGGAGAAATTTGAATTTCAAAGTATTCAGGGCACTGCACCCCCGCCTCGCAGCGCACGCGAACCGCAGTCTCACGGGTCGCTTGGAAATATATCTACTTGTTCTCAGTCTGGGGTGATTGGGTGTGAAATGACATTTGTGTCAGGGACAACTAGGCTGCAAAATAGCTGAGCAATCCCCCCACTTAGGTATTTGCACTGCTGGTGATACGATGGGGGCCGCCCTGAAGACCAGTGATACAGAATTTGTAAAATGACAGAGTTCCCCTCAGTTTCACCCCAAAACGCTGCTGTGCAGCCTCCTGGGTGGCTCCCAGCAGGCAGGCACTGGGCACAATGCGGGTGCAGGAGGATGCACGGCCCCGGTGAGCCCCGGGCTCTGCGCACACCGGCRCTGCCTGTGCAGGAGCGGGGGGGAAGGCACAAACTGCACGGAAGAAACGGGGCCCTTGCTGGGCCCCARGCCGCGCTCGGCCCCGGGGCCGCCTGTGAGCGCAGCCTGGGCTTTGCTTCGGTGACACCTGATCCCAGAGCTTCTCCCCGCGCCCCTGGAGATGCAGCCTCCCTTTGCAGGAATGTTTTTGGGGAGGGGCGGGAGGTTGGCGCAGCTCCAGCTGCCGAATTTTTCCATGACCGGAGAGCGTCTCCTGCCTTAAATGGCTCCATAACATTTGCTGCTTCTGCTCTCCTGCAATCACCTATTTAGGGSGTTTCTGGATCCCGCCAGCTTTGCAGACTGCCTTCACGTGAGCCCCTGATTTCCTCACTTGTCTTCCTGTGTTTGCTTCTCCTAAAGGAAGATGGAGCAGCCGGCCCTGGTTAGCACCGATCCAGCTCTCCCGCTCTGCTCCCTTGCTGGTGCCGGTGGGACGAGTGTCCTGGATGCAGCCCGGCCACCAGTCAGTGAGACCAAGACCAGGAGCCCCCATGGTTGTGTGCGAGATGCACAGCGATGCTGCTGGGTTGACGGGCGCGGGATGGGGCAGCTGGAGATGTGGGGAGGAGGATGGAAAAGCAGGACAGCTGTGGAGCGGGCTGAGGAGCTGGGGCATGGACAGGATCACGTGCACAGGGATATGAGCCTGGAACTGCCGCCCTWATGGGTGAGCTGGGCAGTGAGCTCCCCAGCCCTGGCATTCCCCGGCGGTCACCTCGTGGCTGTGAAGCCCTTGGCAAAACGCCCTCCCTGTGCTGGCCTGCAGGAGAGGGACARCCTGACCCTGCGGTCGAGGGCAGCRGGTCAGCAGCCTCCCTTTCCGTGGGGGTAGGAGGAAGCCAGGCCCGCGGAGCTCAGAGCTGCCTGCAGGAGCCAGCCGTGTGTTGCTGAGAAGTGTCTGCGCGTGGCAGTGAGCAGGGTCTGACTGCAGCGGCTGCTGGAGACCTGGGCAGCTTTGTTGGGTGAAGGGGTGGCAGCCCCTGTCCACTCCCTAGGCCTGGCCTAGCTCCTCCAGAGTGAAGCTTTTGTCAGCCTCTTCCTCATCCTTCCAACTAGCCCTGGGTTTGAGATGCGCGGCTCTGGTGTGAAGTGCTGACCCTGCTCTGCTGCAGGCAGCGAAAACGCACCAGGACCTGCATCCACTTCCCCTGTAACAAGGGAGGCAGAGCAAAAGCCCTGAAAGGACGCAGTGTTTCCCAACTTGTCTTTTACCACTTGCCAAGGGGATACTTTTGTTCTCTCTCTGTGTAAATGCAGAAGCAGACGGGGGCACRTTTGAGGAAGTGCAGCATGCAAACAGCACGGCCCTGATAGGAAGCGTGAACGGGGCTCAACCAGGATAATTCCTGTTTAAGGTGACTGTCCCGGGAGAGAGAAGCCAGCAGCCTTCCAGGGCGGTGCTGCACGCGGGGCTCAGCCGCTGCGATTCCCCTGCTGCATTCCCGCTGTGTCTGCACATCCCGCTGCTGTTGGGAATTCAAACCCTGCAGCGAGTCCAGCGAAAATTGGACTGGCTGGAGGCGGGGGGAGAGGCTCCCGCAGAGCCCTCGTTCCACGCGCTCACGTTTCCTTTCTGTTCACTGTTAAAGATAGGACTGCAGTGGGGTAACTGGGCACGTCAGGGGAGCCAAGGTCTGCAGTTGAACAGATGTGGATTTTGTTGCTGCTCTCTTGGATCCGTGGGCTTCAGCCTGTGCCTTCCCACCTGCCTTCCCTCTTCTCCATTCCCACCAACATTTACCTCCGGGCAGGATCTTGGGGAGCTGCCGGAGCTGAGGTGTTTTGTGCTGCTGGAACGGCTGCTTGGACGGTGCTTTTCCAACAGCGCGCTGGATGGGAGCATTCCCTTGGGAGCACGTGCACCCCTGGGGGCACAGYTCCTCAGGAGCAGCCTCGTGACGCTTGGACATCTGACTCCAGGTTTTAAAATATCCTCTGGAGAGGGCAGGGGATGGAGCCAGGTGGGAATTCAGCTAACTTTAGTGGCTGCGCAAACAGGAAAGGGAGCAGGCAGTGCTGAGGTGTTGCCCTGTCACCCTGTCAGCTCTCAGGTGACAGGGCCCCAGCAGACGCCAGGTCACGCTGCATCACGTGCCTGCAGCCCAGCTTTGGCCGTGACTCGCGCGGTGCCGAGGCGAGAAAATCACCAGCGCGTTACCTGTGGGGCTTTCCGGGCCCTGCGCTTTCCCTCTGGGTTACGGGCAGCTCCAGCCCACGCTGCCCTCCTGGAAACTCAGCCCGAGAAAGGTCTGCAGGTGCGGTGTGGGGCCAGCGCGCGCCTTCCCCSCTGGGTGCCCCGGCACACGCAGGGCAGGGGCCCTGCCGCGCGCGGGCGCTTCCTCGGGCCTCGCGGCAGCCGCCCCGTCCTCGGC